CAGCCCGCCCTGCCCGGGACCTCCTGTCTGACCGCTTCCTATTGGGCGCTGGCTTGTGACGTCACTGGACGGCTCTTCTAAAGCCCCGCCTTCAGCGATAGCCCCACCCCCCGTGGCTCCTCCCACCCAGGTTTGAAGACTCCTAGCTGGCTGGGCCTGAGGACCCTGGTTTCTACAGTTTCCTGCATCCCCACCTGGAGTAACTGGAGCACGCGCGCGCACGCGCACGCGCACACACACACACACACACACTCTCCCCCACAGATGCCTTGGGGGTTTGGGGGTGGGGAGCCTTAGAAGAGGAGGCACATGGTGGTCCCTGCTGGGCATGCCCAGCTCTGGACCAGCCATGTGGGAGATGAGGCTGCACTCGCTTCCTTTAATAGGGCTCTGCCCAGACCAGGCCCCAGAGGGCATTCCAGGAGGAAGGCAGTCGGAGAGTTAGATGGGAAACTGGGACTGGGGTTGAGTTTTGGAGGCTCAATGAGACCAAGGGGGTAGGAAGTCTAGGTAGGGGCCCAGCCTGAGCAAAGGCAGGTTCCAAGGGAACCTATAGCCAGCGAGGGATCTTGAGAGACCCAGTCCCTGCCCAGAGCCTGGGCACCTTTGGAAGCAGGAAAATGGAAGTGGACTAGGGAAAGCCTTGAATGCCAGGCTGATATGAGCAGGAAGAAGGGAGAGAGGCAAGATGGAAGAGGGAGACTCCAGAGATGGCTGAAGTGCCGTGACTAGAGAAATGTGGGGTCCTCCCTTGGTCCAGGATGAAACCCAAGACTCTTTAACCCCTGCTTCAGCCCTTGTATTTAAAATAAAAACTGTGAAACTGCCAGGCACAGATGGTTCATGCCTGCAATCCTAGCTACTCAGGAGGCTGAGATCTGAGGATGGTGGTTCAAAGCCCAGAGAAATGTCTATGACACTCTTATGTCCAATAAACTACTTGGAAAAAGCCAGAAGTGGCACTGTGGCTCAAATGGTAGAGCCTTGAGTGCCTAGGCCGAGTTCAAACCCCAGTACTGGCAAAAAAAAAAAAAACCAACAAACTGTGAGATCAAGGTGGGAATTATCTTGTGTTCTCCCATTTCCCCGCTTTGTTTTCAGAGTTCCTTCAGTTGCTGGGCACTGGCCTGCTGTGAAGCTGTGGGGGTCATCGTCAGCCTGTCCCTGAGGACAGAGGCTTCCACCTTCTTGTCAGGTGGCAGTGTTAGGCGAAATAGGCATAGAAGAAGATGTTGACACACATGAGGAGGATGGCGTTGAAGCCACACACACGAGCCCAGAAAGCGTGTTTCTGGGGTGTTGGGTTGCTACCTGGAGAGGGTTGAGGAGGGACAGATGGGAGAGGAAAGATTACCCTTGGCTCCTCTGACTCCATCCCAGCCCTGGGGTGGAAGTGAGGGATTGCCCACTTGCCTGCCTTGGCTCCCAGGGACAGCTCCCGAGCTAGGGTCCACCAGGTCAGGTTCTCAATCTGTTAGGAAGGAGTGGGGATGGGACAAAAGTGCATCCAGACAGGGGCAGGGGACAGTGACAGAAAGAGGGAAGTCAGTCTCAAAAGAGACAGAGATCAGAGCTTGATGAAGGTTTAGAAGATTCTGGAGTCAGAGAAATTCAGAGGTTAAAATGGGACCTGAGGAGCTGGGAATGTGGCTTAGTGGTAGAGTGCTTGCCTTGCATGCATAAGGCTTTGGGTTCAATTCCTCAGTACCATATAAGCAGAAAAATCCAGAAGTGGCACTGTGGCTCAAGTGGTAGAGTGCTAGCCTTGAGCTGAAGAGCTGAGGGACAGCGCCCAGGCCCAGAGTTCAGGCCCCACAACCAACAACAACAACCTGAGCTGGGTGCTGAGATCTGAGGATCACAGTTCAAAGCCAGCCTGGGCAGAAAAGTCCATGAGACTCTTTTTTTTTTTTCGGGTCCGGTCATGGGGCCTGAACTCTGGGCCTGGGCGCTGTCCCTCAGCTCTTCAGCTCAAGGCTAGCACTCTACCACTTGAACCACAGTGCCACTTCCGGCTTTTTTCTTATGTGGTGCTGAGGAATCGAACCCAGGGCCTCGAGCATGCAAGGCAAGTACTCTGCCACTGAGCCACCTTCCCAGCCCCTCCATGAGACTCTTATCTCCAATAAACCACCAGAAGTGGCACTGTGGCTCAAGTGGTAGAGAGTTCGCCTTGAGCTGAAGAGCTGAGGGACAGTGCCCAGGCCCAGAGTTCAAGCCCCACGACTGGCAAAAAAAAGAAAAGAAAAAAAGAATGGGACCTGATTTAGAAATTGTTAGGGTTCGAGTGCAGGTCAGGGATGACAATGTAGGGGTCAGGGATTGGGGGTCAGGGCAGGCTCACCTGAGTGTATTGGGGGGGCGGGGTCAGAAGACTCCCAGCAGCCATGACAGCACCAGTGAGCAGGAAGAGGGCTATAGCGAAGTGCAGGTAGTGGATGTTTTGGAGGAGAGCCGGCCTCATGTCCGGATGGCCACAAAGTGGGGCGGGGTTCAGGAATTCCAGGACCAGCCTCAGAGCGCCCACCACCAGTCCAGCCATCAGGCCCCAAAAAGCCCCCTGGGGAGGAGGAAGCCAGTGTGAGGAACTGTGGGAAGAAGGCCAGGACCCCAGATGCTGACCTGGGCACAGGGGCAGGGTCGGAGGGACTGAGGAGCGTTGGCAGGAGGAGGTCAGCAGCCCTTCTGACTGAGCCCCACCCGTGTCTTGCACTGAACATCTACCTGCTCGTTGGCACGCTTCCAGAAGATGCCCAGGATGAAGACTGCGGTCACCGGGGGAGCCAGCGAGCTGGTCACAGACTGCATGTAGATGAAGAGCTGCCCGCTGCTGGAGCCTTGCAGGATGGGAATCCAGGCCACGCTCACACCGATAAGGACCACGATGACCAGCCTGCAGATGGACGGTGCCAAAGACCCCTCTTCAGCAATTCCTCCTCCCCTTGGTCAGCTGTTGTACCCAGCCCCAGCCCACTATACCTGTAACTGGCCCAGAGTCTGCACCCCTGATCCTTCAGTCTGTACCACTCCTTCTATGAGATTCTGCAGAATCAGCCTTTAAGGACCGCCCCCCCCCACAGCTCCTGGGGTCTCCATTTGATCCACCCAAGCTGAGACTGGAAGCCAAAAGAGGGCAGGATTTCCCCCTTCCAGCATACGGGGGAACTCACACCACATACACTGGGAGCCTGTGGCACCATGGAGACGTGTCACTGGACGGGAGCTGTGGCACACCGTGGGAGCTCGTGGCACATGGGGACTGTGTAAACATGAACCACTTGCTGTCCTCATGTCCTGGGCAGACATCCCTCTGGCGGGGTCTCTAAGCACAGCATGCATTCTGAAACTGGCTCTACATTAAGCACTGTTCTCGCCCTCCATCTACTTCAGAGCAAGCTCTGGCCTGAGAACGCCAGGCTTGGGAGCCAAACTGTCTGGGCTAGAGTCACTGCCTAGACTCCTCAACTTCAAAGCCTGAGCCCTTCTATCCAGCCAGGGGAACCATCCCCACCCTGCCTGAGACCTCCCTGCCCCCCTCCCTCCCCCTTGGGACTGCCCCCACACCTCCCTTCCCCGGGGAAGAATGGCAGCGCACTGGGCATTCTGGTTCAGCTGAACACTCTAGCACCCACCATCTGGCAGTATAGCAAAGTCAACTGGTCAACCTATCCCCAGAGCAGGTCTGGGCTGAGGAACTCAGAGGAAGTGTGAATCCAGGAGGACTTCCAGGAGGAGGCCCTCAGGACCTTGAAGGGATGTGGAACCCAGAGAAGTTTCCACAAGAGTTCAACTCCTCCCTGACTGAGCCCCTCACTGGTGTCCTGAGCCACTTGGTACCTCTGACCACTAAGGGAGTGAGGTAGGGGTGTTGTGTCTTCCCCCCACCCCCACGTGGCAGGCCATGTGCAGGTACCTGCCTCCCTTTCTTCCCTTTCAGGCTGGAGGGAGTGGGTGGGGGAAGGAGGTGCCACCTTGATTGAGGCTAATTAACCCTTAGCCTGGCAGGCGGCTGATGCTGCCTCTTCAAAGGCCCAGGCAGCCTCCAATAACACGGCCTACCCCGCCCTCCAACACCACAGTCAGCATCTTTGCTGGCAGCAGCTGGGGGGGGGGGGGCGCTCCATGGCCAGGCTGGCCTCAACCCTCTCCTCCCCTGCTACTGCCCTGCATGTTGCCCCTTTGATTCACTCACCACCCAGATGTGTGTGTGTGTGTGTATGTGTGTGTATGTGTGTGTGGTGTGTGTGTGTATGTGTGTGTATGTGTGTATGTGGTGTGTGTGTATGTGTGTGGTGTGTGTGTGTATGTGTGTGTGGTGTGTGTGTATGTGTGTGCATGTGTGTATGTCTGTGCATGTGTATGTGTGTGTGTATGTGTGTGTATATGTGTGTATGTGTGTATGTGTGTGTATGTGTGTGTGGTGTGTGTGTATGTGTGTGTGTGTGGTGTGTGTATGTGTGTGTATGTGTGTGTGTATGTGTGTATATATGTGTGTATGTGTGTGTATTGTGTGTATGTGTGTATGTGTATGTGTGTGTATGTGTGTGTATGTATGTGTGGTGTGTGTATGTGTGTGTGGTGTGTGTGTGTGTGGTGTGTGTGTGTATGTGTGTGTATATGTGTGTGTGGTGTGTGTATTGTGTGTATGTGTGTGTATGTGTGTGTGTATGTGTGTGTATGTGTGTATATGTGTGTATGTGTGTGTATTGTGTGTGTGGTGTGTGTGTGTATGTGTGTGTGTGTGGTGTGTGTGTATGTGCGTGTATGTGTGTGGTGTGTGTATGTGTGTATGTGTGTGGTGTGTGTATGTGTGTATGTGTGTGGTGTGTGTGTGTGTGTATGTGTGTGTGTGTGTGTGTATGTGTGTGGTGTGTGTATGTGTATGTGTGTGTGTATGTGTGTGTGGTGTGTGTATGTGTGTGTATATATGTGTGTGTGTATGTATGTGTGTATGTGTGTGTGTATGTGTGTGTATGTGTGTGTGTATGTGTGTGTGTATGTGTGTGTGTATGTGTGTGTATATATGTGTGTGTGGTGTGTGTGTGTGTGTGTGTGTGTGTGTGTGTGTGCCCCCAGGCCCAGAGGCTGCTCCTGCTCTTGGGATACCCTACCCCATTCCACTTCCTTTGTGGCAAGTACCCCCAGTCTCTAAGGACCCCCTATGCCACGGCCCCCACCTCAGGTCGGGAGGAACGAGTCCCATCCTCCCTCTGGAGAAGGGAGCCTAGGGGAAGGGGCTGAGAGATCTCGGTATCCTCTATTGCCCAACGGGACACAGGGCCCAGGGAGGAGACAGAAGGGGACAGCAGGGACAGAAGGCAGGACCTTGGGGCTAGTGAAGGTTAGAACCTGGAAATGAAGTCATTAATAACACTGGCCCGAGCTGCTGGGGCCTCTGAGCTGAAGACGAGGCCAGCCTGGGGGCAGATATGGTGGGGAAAGGAAGAAAGATCCAGGTCAATGTGGGAGATAGCTTGAGGAGATGGCAGGAGCAGGGAAGAGGTCTGCTTCTGGGCAGGTCAGGGAGCCATGGCCGCAGGCAGGAGCTAGGGTCAGAGGGCCCAGGCCTAGAGGGTGGCAGATCCAGGGCCTAGGACCCTGGAGCTTGGGAAGACTGAAGAAGGGCAGCGTCCCGGGGCCATAGAGAGGAGAGGCAGGGGCATCTGAAGGCCAAGGCAGTCTCATGCCCAGAGCCAGGCAGACGCGGAAAGTGCCCTGCACTGGAGGCCGAGGCTCCCTGACTGCAAATGAGCTCACACCTGTCTGCAGTCTGGCATGTCCCAACAAGGCCCTCCCACGGAAGCTGCTGGTTGGCATCACTGGGAGACCTCACCCTGAGGACAGCACACCCTGGGCTCCTGGCTGCAGGCTGCAGGCCGTCCCTCCAGTCCCAGCGGGGGGCTGGGGGCTACATAGCTAGGAGGGAGGCAGTGTAGACAGAAAGCGGAGAGGCTTAGACAGACACAAATGCACAGTCAGCGACACCAGCCTTCGTCATCCACATGCAAGGACTTCCGGGCACCCAGGTGGGTATGGAGATAGCGTCACAGGCCAGTGCTCACAGGAAAAAAGAATTTCTTGGCTGGAGGTATCAGGAGGCCTGCATGGAAGGAGGCCTTTGAGCTGAATACAGAGGGGATAAGTAAGGCCAGGAGGAATTGGCGGTGGAAGTAGTGGAGGCCAGTGTGGGAGGTGGAATGGACAGGATAGTATGGCCTCTTCCCTCCCTCCCATCCTGGTATTCAAACTTCTATGCATCCCTCAAAGCCTCAAGGAGCTGATCCTATGGCTGGTTCCCTCCACCCCCACCAACTATACCGTCCCACCAGCAGCAGCTCCCGCTCGCCAGCTCCAGGCCGCAGCCGTCTCCAGATGTCCATGGTGAAGAGCGTGCTGCTGCTGTTGAAGATGGAGGTCAGCGACGACATCAGCGCAGCCATCATCACCGCAATCATCAGCCCTCGCAGACCTGCAGGGGGGAGCGGGGGGGACTCGCTGTGACCTTGGCTGACCCTGGCCTCCTTCCTTGGGAGCTCCTGTCACCTGGGCCCTGCAGCCTGAGCCCCCTTCCCCCACTGCAGTCAGTCCTAAGTGGCTCCATGGACCTTCCCATGTACCCAAAGGCAGAGGACCCGGAGGGAGAGAGGCTGAGCATCTGAGGCCAGGGGAGACTGGGCGGCCGTGGACATGCAGTAGGGACTTCGGGATTTTCAGCCCAAGCCCGCGGCTTGCTGGAAGCGCTGGCCTGCACTGTAATTACGTGTGTCTTGGTGCGATTACCAATCCTCTCATTCCGCAGAGCCTGGCGCTGACTAAGCACTTTACACCCTGGCTTTACCAAAGGAAAGATCCTTAACCCAATGTGACAGCGGCTGCAAGCTCAGAGAGGCGCCGGCTGCCAGGGGACTCCCAGCAGCCCAGAGGCACATCTGGGGTGGGGTGGGAGGAAGGCTTGAGGTGGGACCCTAGGTTGGGAAGTCACTCCCAGGACAGTGGCCCAGGCTCTGGAATTTCCCACCACTTCTGGTTGGTGGCAGGCTGTAGCAGGCCAGGTGGATCCGGCTTACCTTGGCTCTGCGGAAGCACTGCCAGTGCCCCAGAATTGGAGAGGGGAGGGAGAGGAAATCAAACCTATCACCTGCAAACCAGTGCAGGTTTCTTCAGGGGAGCTGAGAGGCATTCTGGAAGTCAGAGTTAAGCAGGTGCTAACTCACTGCTGTGTGGCTTCAGGCTGGTCACTTTCCTTCTCTGGGTCTTTTTTCAAGTGTGTGTACATTCTTCTTTTCTTTTGGTGTGTGTGTGTGTGTGTGTGTGTGTGTGTGTGTGTGTGTGTGTGCCAGTACCTGGCCTTGAACTCAGGGCTTTGCACCCTTACAGTTTTTTTCTGTTCAAAGCTGGTACTCTACCACTTGAGCCACACCTCCACTTCCAGCTTTTTGCTGGTTAATCTTATGGACTTTTCTGCTTGGGCTGGCCTTGAACTAGGATCCTCAGAACTACACTTCCTGAGGGCTGGGGAGGTGGCTCAGTGGTAGAGTACTTGCATACGGCCCTGGGTTTGGTTCCTTAGCATCACATAAGCAGAAAAAGCCGGAAGTGGTGCTGTGGCTCAAGTGGTAGAGCACTAGCCTTGAGCTGAAGAGCTGAGGGACAGCGCCCAGGCCCAGAGTTCAGGCCCCATGACTGACAAAAAAAGAAAAAACAAAGAACTCCACTTCCTGAGCAGCTGACAAGCATCTGGCTATGTATCCAAGTTTGAAGTACCACAGCAGACTCCCTACTAGTCTTGTGGACAGCACCTTGCCTTAGGAAGGTCTGACATGTTGGACGCTCCTGGGGGGCTCAGCCTTAGAGGTGTTGTTTACTTCCTCGCTGGGGGCCTGGTCTCAGATCCGCATCAACTTGCTGTGTGAGTGTCTCAGACTGACTGGGATGGGGCCTGAAGAAATGTCAGTTGAGTTTGATTCTCCCTAAACATGTCTCCTCATCTTGCTCAGGAGGTTTTAACTTGGGGCTTAGTGTATCCATTTTTCATACAAGGAGCCCAAGGATTAGGAAGGGTGGGGGGGGGTGAGGGGAGTGAAGAGGGGTGTTGCTGAATGGATCCTCTGGGGGCAGGATGCCAAGGAAGGTGGAGCCGAAGGTGGAGCTGCGGCCTGCCAGGAGTCATTAGGCTTAATCCAGCCACAACTGAGGGGAGGGAGAGTCATTATCTCCAATTTACAAATGAGGACACCCAGGCTCCAAAATCAGGGAAGTGATGTGCCCCAAATAGCTTGGCCTGTGTGTACAACCAAGCTCTGTTCCCAGGTCTAGGTACTGCAATCCTGTCCCTCTGTCCCCGGGGGACCAGGCTCTATGAGGGGCAGCGAGGGATTAAGGGAGGGACACAGGGACCTGACTGAAATCTTTTAGCATTCGTGTGTCTATCCTGGGGCTTGAACTCAGGACCTACGTGCTGTCCCTTAGTTTTTGTTTTTGTTTTTGTTTTTTTGCTCAAGGCTGGCACTTTACCACTTGAGCCACAGCTCCACTTTTTTTGCTGGGTAATTGGAAATAAGAGTCTCACAGACTTTCCTGCCAGAGCTGGCTTTGAGTGGGAATCCTCAGATCACAGACTCCTGAGTAGCTAGGATTACAGGTGTGAGCCACCAGCGCCCCACCTGACTGAAGATTTAAAAGCAGGAGAGAAACCTTAGCGTGAGTTGGTCTCAGTTTCTCCATCATGAAGATGGAGGGGTGGCAGCAGTGTGGAGTTTTTTTTTTTGTTGTTGTTGTTGTTTTGTTTTTTCTCCCTCGGCCTGGGGCTTGAACTCTGGGCCTGGGCTGTCCTCGAGCTCTTCAGCTCAAGGCTAGCGCTCTACCACTTGAGCCACAGTGCCACTTCCAGTGGTTAATTGGAGATAAGAGTCTCACAGACTTTCCTGCCCGGGCTGGCTTTGAACTGAGATCCTCAGATCTCAGCCTCCTGAGTAGCTAGGATTACAGGCATGAGCCACCCAGCACCCAGCCACGGAGGGGTTTTGAGGGGAGGCCATGAGGAGTGGGTGAGCCCGGGACAGGGCAGTCCTTGAACCTGCTGGTACTTATCTCTTCCCACGTGGAGATCACAATGTCAGGATGAATCCCCTCCCCATCCCTCATCCTCCCCACCCCCACGCCCAGCCTCACCAGAGGGCATCAGCTCCATGACCAGCTTGGGGTAGGCGATGTTAGAGCAGCCGATCTCAACCCCACAGGCCCGCAAGCACTCGGAGGGCACCACACAGCCCACGTCATCTGCAAGAGATGGATGCCCGCTGCCCTCCTCGGCCCATGCCCTCCCTGCAGACATGGCTCCTGGCCTGGGCCAGCCTGCCCACCCACCCAGCCAGTCCCTACCTCTTGCGCTCTGGCTGCTTAATGATTAGCTCTGATCTCAGTTTCCCAGTGTGATCTTGAGGGAAAGTGAACCTTGAGAGCCCTTCTGCCTCTCGATCCCCTCCCCCAATGCTGTCTTCCACTCTAGGCCCTTCGGGTGCCCCCAACTCCCTGTCTCCAGGCCAAGGACGGGCAGCCCGCCATGAGGACAGCCAGCTGGTCTCCTGCCCTTCCTCCCGCTCTCAGCTGTCCTGCAAGGAGGGGAAATGGAGGCAGGGGACAGGAGGAAGCCTGCTGACTTGGCCGTGTGGAGTCACCACACCGGATGAGGGTGAGAGTTGTGAGACTAGCCACTTCCTACTGCCGTGGCTTTCCAGCAGCCTCTGCACATCCTTCCCTTCCTGCTCCCCATGAGGAGCCCCTCCCAACAGCCTCTGGGTTTTTCCTTCTCTTCTGGGGCCGGCCCCGCCCACCGCTCTACTCCAGTGGAAGCTCAAGCTCCATCCTCCTCCCTGGGATCACTGCTGTCCTCTGAGGTGCGGGTCCCCAACCCCTCCTTCCGCTCCCATCCCTGCAAGCCCAGGGCACTCTGGGTAAAATCCTGCCCTTGGCATTCAAGGCCCTTATTGACTGGCCCTACAGCCTTTGATTGGCACCAGACTCTGCCAGCCCGGCCTGCCAGTATTTTCTGATATTTGTCCAGCACTGTTTTTTTGGGGGAGGTCAGTCATGGGGCTTGACCACAGGGTTTGGGTGCTGTCCCTGAGCTTTTTCCACTCAAGGCTAGCACTTTTACTTTGAGGTACCACTTCTGGTTTTCTGGAGATAAGAGTCTCAGGGGGACTTTCCTGCCCAGGCTGGTATTGAACTGTGATCCTCAGATCTCAGCCTCCTGAGTAGGTAGGATTACAGGCGGGAGCCTCTAGGGCCAGACCTGGCCAGCACTCTCAAGTCTTAGCACTTCCTCCTAGTTCCACACCTGTACCACCCTTGTTTACCTCCTGCAAAGGGCTCCTCCTCTAGGTCTCCCCATTGTCCCCCAACCCTCAGGTGATAAGCAGCTCCCCCCTGAGGGCTCCCAAGACCTAGATTGAGTCACAGTTGTTTGTTTTCTTGGCTGTGCTCCCCACCAGGCCTGGAGCTCCCTGAGGGCAGACACTGGATTTGAATCATCTGCGTTGCAGGTATGGCCCAGCCCAGGGCTGGGCTCACAGGAGACAAGTCTGTGAACATTTGCTAAATGAATGGATGAATAAGTTAGTGAATGGTGGGGAGAAAGGAGGAAAGGCACAGAAGGAAAGGAAGAGAAGATGCCAGAAAAAGTCATGAAGGAATTCAGGAACAGCTTGATCCAACTGCCTTTCTACAAATCTACCATCTACCACCTCTACCCCCTCCCACCCCTACACACTTGAGTTTTGTAGGACCGGAAAAGACATAATTTTGTAAGACAGTTAAGCCCAGGATGGAGTTTACAGTCCCATGTCAGGATACTGGGGTGCAAGACTGAGAGGGCAAATATGGGCTCCTCCTAATGGAGAGTCTGGGCCAGGACAGGTGGGTCCTTTGGCACTGGCTGGCCCCCGCCCTCTGGGAGGGGCCCACTGAAGCATCACAGCCACATAATGGCTCAGAAAGCCCGAGTCAGGAGATTCCTCTCAAGTTTGTTCAGCTCATTCCAGACTCCTGGCATGGGCACTGCCCCTGGACGCTTTGGGCTGGACCGCGTGTTTGTGCTGAACAGCGAGAAAGAAGAACCACACATTTATGACAGCAATCGCATCAGGTCACCATCCGAACAATGGCCCAGCTTGCCAACCCCTGGGGCCAGGAAGGGCAGAGAAGGAACAGGGAGCTGGCTTTGCCTGCTGCATGCCTAGGTGCCTGTGAGGCTCTGCTTTGGCCCCATGTTAGTCCCCTCACCCTGCCAAGACCTATTCCAGAGCCTGGGAGCTGCCCGGCCCAGCCCCCACGTCCTCCAGCCGTGCTGCTAACACCAAGTCCAGCTTGACTGCCCCTTCTAGGCAGCCACCCCCCAACCTACCCAACCCCCCCACGGCCTTCTGTTCACAGCCTAGATGTGGCTCCCAGTGCCCTCCCATGCCAGCCGAGGCCTCTCCTTGTTTGCTACCTTTATCTCAACCAAGTCCAACCAGTGTATGGGCTCTGGCCTGGCACCTCTGGGCCTCTCTCTCTGCTGTTCTCTTTCCTTTGGACATCCTTCCTTCCTGCATAAATCCAAGGAAAGGGGCTGGGAAGGTGGCTCAGTGGTAGAGCGCTTGCCTTGCATGCCTGAGGCCCTGGGTTTGATTCCCCAGCACCACATAAACAAAAAGAAAAAAAGCCAGAAGTGGCGACGTAGCTCAAGTGGTAGAGCGCTAGCCTTGAGCTGAACAGCTGAGGGACAACGCCCAGGCCAAACAAACAAACAAACATATAAATCCAAGGAATTAGCTGGGTACCAGTGGCTAACCCTAACTACTCAGGAGGCTGAGATCTGAGGATCCAAGTTCAAAGCCAGCCCAGGCAGGAAAGTCCGTGTGAGACTCTTATCTCGAATTAACCAGCAAAAAGCTGGAAGTCAAACTGTGCTTCAAGTGGGAGAGTGCCAGCCTTGTATGAAAAAGCTAAAGGACAGCACCCAGGCCTGGAGTTCCAGCCTCAGTGCTGGCACAAAAACAAACAAAAAACCCACCCCACACAGCTGATGGCTCACGCCCACTGTCATCCTACCTACTCAGGAGGCTGAGATATGAGGATTTCAGTTGAAGCCAGCCTGGGTAGACAAATGTTGCTTCTTATCTCCAACTAACCATCAAAAAGCGGGAAGTGGAGTTGTGACTCAAGTGGCAGAGGGCCAGCCTTGAGTGAAAAAGCTGAGAAGAGTGTGAGGTCCTGAGTTCAAGCCCTGGAACTGGCACCTTGGCAAGGTCTGTCCCTCAGATGTAGGAATTGCACTTTGGGGTGTTTATTCCCAAGAAATGTATGTTCATACACATAACACATTTATATATACATCTATACAGCTGCCTATGAATGTAGATGTATGAATGTTCACAGTGGCTTTATTTTTAATTTGTGCCTTTTTTTTTTTTGGTCCAGTAGTGGGGCCTGAACTCTGGGCGCTGTCCCTCAGCTCTTCAGCTCAAGGCTAGCGCTCTACCACTTGAGCCACAGTGCCACTTCCAGCTTTTTTCTTTTTGCTTATGTGGTGCTGAGGAATGGAACCCAGGGCCTCATGCATGCAAGGCAAGCACTCTACCACTGAGCCACCTTCCCAGCCCCTGTCTTTATTTTTTTATTTGTACTTTGTTTTTTGGTACATGGAGCTTGCACTCAGGGCCTGAGCTATCTGCTCCTTAGCTTTTTCACTCAAGGCTGGTGCTCTACAACTTGCGTCACTCCTCCAGCCTCCTTTGCTTCATCTGTTTTTCAGATAGTCTTGGGCCTCAGACTTTGGTCCTCTTACCTCAGCCTCTTGTATAGCTGGATTTACAAGTGTGCACCTCCATGCCAGGCCCCTTATGTAGCTTTTTTCTTTTTTTCTGTTTTTGGTCAGTCATGGGGCTTGAACTCTTGGCCTGGGCGCTGTCCCTCAGTTCTTCAGCTCAAGGCTAGTGCTTTACCACTTGAGCCACAGCGCCACATTGGTTTCTTGGAGATAAGAATCTCATGGACTTCCCTGCCTGGGTTGGTTTTGAACCGCGATCCTCAGATCTCAGCCTCCTGAGTAGCTAGGATTATAGGCATGAGCCACCATGCCTGGCTGCTTTTTTCTTGTCTGTCGTGGGACTTGAACTCCAGACCTGGGTTCTATTCCTAAGCTCTTTTTTGCTCAAGGCTAACACTCTGCCACTTTGAGACCAACACTCACTACTTCCAGTTTTTGAGTGGTCCGTTGGAGATAAAAGTCTCATGAGGGGACTTTTCTTTCCTGGGTTGGCTTTCAACTGTGATCCTCAGACCTCAGCTCCCTGAGTAGCTAAGATTACAGGTGTGAACCACTGATACCCAGGTCTTATGTAGCATTTTTTTTGGGGGGGGTGGTTCGGTTGTGGTTTGAACTCTGGGCCTTGGCTCTTCCACTCAAGGCTAGCGCTCTACCACTTGAATCACAATGGTTTTCTGATGATTTATTGGAGATAAGCACCTCATGGACTTTCCTGCCTGGGCTGGCTTTGAACCACGATCCTCACATCTCAGCCTCCTGAGTAATAGCTAGGATTACAGGTGTGAGCTGCTGGTCCCCAGCTTTTTATGTAGCATTTTTGACAAACAAAATAGTAGCAATGGAGAGTGGCTTAGTGCTTGCTAGATGCTGGTGCACGAGCATTGCTCTAATGATGAAGGTCATGGCTGGGGCTCTACCACTTGAGCCATGGCTTCACTTCCAGCTTTTTTAAAATTTGTGGCTAATAGGAGAGAAGGGTCTCACTGACTTCAAACCATGATCCTTAGATCTCAGCCTCCTGAATAGCTAGGATTTCAAGCATGCGCCACTCATTCCCAGCTGTTGAGCATCTTTTTTAAGGGTGGTGGCCAGGGTCTTGCTGTTGTAAGCCCAGGCTGGCCTCAGGCTTGTGATCTTTCTACAGTGTTGGGATTATAGACATGTGCTACTACACCCAGCCACCATGCTGGTGGCTATGCAAACCGACACACATGACAAAGCTCATTTGCACACACACACACGCACAGAGTGTATGTAACTGGTGACATCTGAATGAACTCTGGATGCACAGAAATTGCAGCTATGTAAGATATTACTGCTGGAGGGGAATTGGGGAAGGGTTCATGGGACTTTCCTGTTTAGTCTTAACTTCCCAGGACTCTATGGGGAAGGGCAAATGGGGGTGTGCGTGCTCAACTCTTTCAGCCCTGATGCCAGGTTGTGAAGGAACCTGGAGACTCTGCCTTGGCAAGAAGGAGAGGAGAGACAGGAGCCCCGTCTGGCTGGGGTCTACCGTGTCAGGGGGTATAAATGGGGAGGAAGGACTGGCAGGCAGGGCTCATGGTGGAGATGCTTGCTCATCTCTGGTCCTGGTGGTGATGCCTGCCCAGGTCCTGCAGCTGTGGGGAGCAGGGTCTCCTGGGCTCTGACCAGAAGAGCCTTGGTGGGTTAGAGGATGAAAAGGGAGTGCTGGGCTCGAGGGGTCCGCGATGGGACCAGGGTGTTGGGGCTGGAAGTAGCCACTGCCCAGGGCCATGGACTCTGGCAAGGATTGGGAGGGTAGATGTAGACACTGGGGAAGTGTGGAGGAAGAGTCACAAACAGGCTTCAGAGAGAAGCTCCTTAAGGCCCCAAACCGCCTCGGTCCAGCTGGAGCCAGTGGTGGGTCTGGGAGGGCCAGTGGCTGGCACGCAGGCTGCCGGGCTGCTGGCTGGGCTGGGTTTAATGGGCTTTGCCGTCCTGCCCTTGACAGCCTGCCTTCAGATGTGGTCCCCACACCCCCATTAACCCGGGCCCAAGCCCCAGGGACGCGGAGCAGAGAGCCGGGCCTGACCCCAGGGTGCAGCCGCTCCCCATTTCGCCCTGCCCCAAGGCTCAGGCGCTGAGAGGCCTGGGGATCCCCCCACCCTCCTCCCCGCGGGCAGCAGGACTCAGATCCGAGAACTGGGTACCTACCGGCTCTGTCTACCTCTCACCCGCCTTCCTGCCCCACCTGAGAGGCTAGGGTTTGGCCCGGGATCGCCTACAGCCCCCGGAGAGCCCGCTGTGCGTCCTGAGGGAGGACACTGTGCCTCTCTGAGCTGCAGAATCCCGGGAGCACGAGGTCTTGGGGGCCAAGACAAGGAGGTGGGGGGGATTTTGAGGGGAGGGGGAGAATGTCTATCTACGGGGGGGGGGCTGACTCAGCTTCCGGCCCCGCCCCCAGGGCTGCACGTGACTACAGGTGGCGCTCCAGGGTGGGCGGGGCGGCACTTAGTCACCGGCCGGCCGCGCCCTCTCCCCGGCTGCCGCCGCCAGCGCTCCCCGCTCCGGTCTAGTCACGGGCTCCGCACCGCGTCCGCACTCGTGGCCAGGTAAGGTAAGCGCGATCCGGCCGTGCCCCGCTGTTCCTGTCCCCGCGGGGGGCCGCCGCCAGCGGGGTTCCGGCCTCGGAGCCTCCGGGCTCCGGCCTCCTCCTGGGAGGCCTCGGGGATTGCTGGCGCGCCCCGGATCCGTCAGACCTTTCCGCTTCCCGGAAGCCCAGGACTACCGGGCGCTGCTGAGTCCCGCCGAGGGGGCCCAGTCGTGCAAACCAACTTGTGGGAAGTTCTTGCCCGGGGCCTTCGGGAAGCGTGGCATCTGAGAAGTGGGTTCCCGGTCCCTGGTAGGCACCGGGGTCCCCGCAGGTCGCTCGCCGGCCCC